CACTTTACAATAAACACGTCCGCTCAGTTCGACCGCTCGCACGAGAATGCACCTTAGTAGAGCATATACTACTGGAGTCAGCGTTCCAGTGGCCGAGAGTATAGCGGAGGTTGTAGTGAAAGAGAGATAGGAAAGTATATGCTATCTCTCTCTAGCAGTACGCAATCGCACGCTCTTAGGTTATCCTTATCTTAAAGCATATACTACTACTGGAGGCAGCGTCCCAGTGGCCGAGATTGTAGCGGAGGTAATAGAGACAGAGAGGACCTCTCTCTAGCAGCATGCATATACCCTCCTATACTGTCTAGCAGCATGCATATACCCTCCTATACCGGGTATAGGAGGGTATATGCATGCTGCTAGACAGAGATAGCAAATTCGTCCCTGAACCTCTCTCTCTCTCTCTCTCTCTCTCTCTCTCTACAACCTCCGCTACTATACTCTCGGCCACTGTGACGTGCCTCCAGTTCCAGTTTCCAGTAGTACTGGCACAGCTTAATACAGCTGGAAGAGTCCGTGTCGGCGCCTTTGATGTGACGGTCGAGAACCAAGCGAGACGGAATTGTGCTAACTCTCTCAGATTAAGCGGAATAGTCGGGGCTGGATTAAAAAATTTTTTATTATTGAAATAAAATATTTAGTTTCTACCTGACAGTACCGTAGTAGGTAATTTTAATAATATGAAATTTGAATTAGAATATTATGTGGTATGACATTAAAAGTAGAAAATGGGTATTTTACATAGGTAATAGGTTTTGTACTTGGAGTTAATACGGATTATTAAAAGAAAACTTGAAGAGTAATTAAAATTCCTTGTTTTAAGCTCCTGTTTACTGACGTAATCCTTAGAGAAGAAAATGGTTAAAATCGTGTTTTTTTCTAACAAAAAATCGTTAATATCTCGAAAACGGTAGATTTTAGAGAAAAGTTGCATATGAACATTTTTGTTCAGGATACCCCCAAAAAGATTATAAAAATGTATTTCAAGCAAAAAAATTTAAACTTACGAATTTGTTTAAAAAAAATTGTTTAAACAATTTTTGACCATTAGTAACGTCTGGCAACATGCGGATATGATTCAAGGGTAATTTTTTTAGTAAGATTATGAAAAAAAATTCGAATGAGAATCATGTCCCTAGCGGGAGCAACGATACAGCCTGGACTAATATTTATACATATTATAAAACATACCTACAATATAATATACAAAAAAATATAATAACATAATATATAGTATTAAAAATATAATCATTACAGATTTCTCCATTAATATAAGTTTATTTTTTGAATATTCCTAAAATTTTGGTTTATAGTTTATAACGTATAATAAATTCTAACCCTTAAATATAACCTAAGTACAAATTCTTTCGGAAAAGAATGACACGGATGACTAAAAGGTAGTCTTTTAATTAATTCAAGAAATGTGCTACAAATGTTATTTTTTGTGGATAATTGTTCAAAATTATCTTGAAATATCTTTTCAGTGTTACAAATGAGCTCAACATCGTTTGGCATTTGCAATTGTCCAAATAAGGTATCTTCATTTTCATTATTATATAAAATAAAAATAAATCAACGAAATTATACCCACGCCTATGATGCAATTCTTACTACCCGTTGTCGCTACTCGCCTTAACGAACGCCAAAGCCGTCTTTTCCGCTGGAAGGCGGAGCATAAACGCTGCGCGGCGGAATCGACGCTAACCGATCCCGCCAAGGCGCCAAGACAGTTGTGGAGCTGTATGAGCTGTGGTACTGGTATGTAGTATATGCTCTAAGCTCTTTGTGAATATGACGTCAGATTTAACCACTAAAATTAAAATCACAACTGAACCAAAACTGAGCTCTGTTGCTTCGCAAAAAAATACGGTTGTCAATTTATTCTTGTCAAAGTTGTCAAATATCTGAATAGAAATAGAAAACGAAAACAGTGTAGTTGCAGTATGTGAAAATGGCTAGTTCTTCAAGGTACTAATTTATTTTTATTAGTGATACATAATTGAATTATTTATTGTGCTGATATTTTTTAGGTATGAGACGAATAAGGTATGTTGTATTTCACATCCAGATGCACCATTGATAGAAGATTACCGTGCTGGTGATCAAATATGTTCTGAATGTGGTTTAGTAGTTGGTGACAGGTAAAAACGATAAATTTTGAAAAAATGCACTGTTAAAATGATTCGTTTATGTAGAGTTATTGATGTTGGTTCTGAGTGGAGGACGTTCAGTAATGAAAAAAATGGGGTGGATCCTTCACGTGTTGGAGGCCCAGAAAATCCTTTACTTGGTGGATCAGACTTAACGACAATGATAGGACCAGGAAGAGGTGAATATAACAAAACAGATCTTTATACATACATTTCCCTAATATTTAATTACAATTATATCAGGTGGATATAGTGTAAAAATAGTAATAATGAATTTTGGGTTTTGCAATAGGTAAAAACCTCGGTAAAAACTTCAAGTTTTAGTAAAATTTATTTGGATAGATTTAAACAAATTGTCCAAATTATTTTGATACATGTAAATACATAAATTACTTTTAATATTTATTTAATAAGTACAGTCCCTACGATATTTGTTAAGGTAGAATTCCAAGACTTGTCACATTTTTGGAATTAACTGCATTCGACACCCGAGGCAGAGGCATTGGCGGAACATTTCAAGGAACGCGTCTGATGTCCGCATTTGACACCAGAGGTAGAAAGACTGGCAGAAAATTTCAAGTCACACCCCTGCCATGGTAAATTGTTACAGTAATTCTGATAATTTTCTTGGAATTCTATCTCAACAAATATTGTACGGACCGTTAGAATAACTAATTCTAGTTTCCTTCCATAATTTTAACATTTTTTTTTTACTAACTGAATGGGTTAGCTGTATATAATAGTTATTGTGTTACGTTATTCTGGCATAAGTGACAAGTCTATTATGATTTGTGAAATCAACATTGATTTTTATTCTAAAAGTACCCCTAAATTTGGCCTATTGGCCAATTTATTGTAATGTCTAAAATGTTGCTACAAATGTAACTAATTATAACAATTTCGTGATTAATTTTTGGAATTGTCATCTGAGGATAAAAAAAATAAACTACTATTATATCAAACTGAATAAGTTTAGTCACAATTTTGACGAATTTTTTTGTAAATTCAAGGCTTTATGAAAAATTGTGTACATTATTATTTTTGAAGCATTGTCCATTGCTAGCCATTACTTTTTCCCACCTTTCTGGCAGCGTACGGATTTGTCGTTAGAACAACTCATATTTTAATGCTATCCACCAAACAATTAAATTTTTCTTATCATTGGAAGCGCTGCTTAGCCAGGCCGTGTTCCATGGATCAGAACAAGTAGAAATCCGATAGACCAATATCTGATGAATATGACAGATGGGGCAAAACATCCCATTTCAGCATTTCTAAGTATTTTTTGACTTCATGAACATGTGGTTGAGTATTCCAACAGCACTCGATGGCTTTCAGCAGCACTTTTCTTTGAATTAAAAGGAAAAGTAAAACTTCCTGCAAATGGTGTCCTGTTGGCTTGTAATTTGACATCTTCGGAACTGAGAAAAAAAAATTCAGCAAAATAATACATAATAAAAAGTTAATCCTAATGACAGAGCTTTGAACAGAAGTGTCCGATGCGATATAGCATAAGTCGCACCATTTATTGTAAATCTCTCTAAATTAACTACAGTCCTAGTAGTTATTTTATGTATTGGTAAAGTGTACTATTAAAAAAATCATGAAACAGTGCGACTGATATTGCACTAACAATAAGATGCCAAATGGAAAACCATGGAACACAATTGGAATGTATTAAATTTAATAAATTCATTCTGATTGGCTGCACTGCTATGGCTTCTCATTAGGCATCCCAGAGTAATATGGACCTTACACTGCATTGTTTTCATATTTTAATATATCGAGGATCTCATGGAAGAACGGTTTACTAATCATACACCATATGAAATATCGATGTTTATGTAATAAAAAAGAAGATATAGTTATTTCATATCAATTTCTCAATAAATAAATCAATATTTATGTTAATAAGATTTGTTGCCAGATTTTTTTTTCTTCTTGCAAAGCGGGATTTTCAAACTTTTTGAATAAAAAAGCGGGATTCTTTCGTCCAAATATGGGACATATTACGGGTTTGTCGATGTCTACAAAAAAAAGGACATAATCAGGAAATATCTATTTAATAACAGACCTGGAAAAAATAATTGATGCCTAAAGAAAAAAAAAAAACAAAAGCGGGACTGAGCATGTCTCACGTGGAACATTTAATTTTGGATTAAAAAGCGGGACGTGTGGCAACGCTGATACTCTCTTTGACTACAAAAATTTTTAGTTCTCTTTTGAATTAAGTGTTCAATTACACTATTTTTTCATGAAACGATATATTGAAATAACCTACTACTACCTACTATTTTATTTCAATAATATATATTATAATTTTGAAATTTTACATTTGAAAAAAAAATTCTTTTAATAAAAAAGTAGGACCTTGTAAAATATGATATATTTCCTGGTTATGGTAAAAAAAGAAAAGGTAAAAATACTGAGTATAGCGAGCATTTTGCAGATTTGACAAATTGTATATTTGTGTCTATTAAGATGACAAATTTTAATTTATTTTTATTTATTTTATTTATTTAAAATACACATCCAACAGGCGATACCCAATAACAGGAGTCTACTAATAAAATATAAAAAAAAGTTAAAAGAAAAAAATTAACTATGAAAAAATTCTTCAGTTTTTAGAATAGGAAAAAAATACTGTCATAATTTCGATTTATTTTAAAATTTCTACGCTTAATCACAAAAAGTTGTACATTTAAAAATGCCCAGAAAGCTATAATTTAATACAATAAATACATACCATAAAGTACAAATATTACAAAATTTATAACTAGATGGCAATTCAATTTGATATTTCACAATCACTTAATTTATAAACAAGGTTGTTGCAATTTATAAACAAAATTTATTTAAAATATGACATAGGTAACACAGGGAGTTCAGAAAGTCCGTCGGGAAACTCCGGGAGGTAATTCTACGGATTAAAATAATAGCAGTATGTAATGAAAATTTATTTCGAATTGTCAATTGTTTGCAAGCTACAGCTTGTCAAAGTTCAATTTTTTTATTTTTCTATTTAAATAACTTATTTAATTCATGTTCGATTAGTCTCTCATTTGGCACACCCACTAAGTAGATGAAGCTCTATTGGACCAGTCAGAGAAGAGTTTCATTATGCGCCGCTAGTGGGCACTTTCTTGTTGACATCACAGAAATTTAAAAATTATTGAAAAGTGAAAAATATGCACTCTTTGTTCAAGCTGATATATGTAACCGTTTACCAGGAAATCGCTATTAATGTGTTAAACATCAAATTTTTGATAATTCTTTCTGTAATTAATCAAGTAATTTTGGTGTTACGAATTGCAACAAATATTGTTTAAAGCAGGTATGTTTGATTTTTCACCATTGTAATTTTTTTTTAGCTCTGTAATAATGTGGAAAAATAAGCTGAGGATAATGAATTTACTGATAATATTTTTATTTACTAACGAAACTGGTTTTACAAGAGATGGTATTACAGCATGGCAACTTGATTAATTGCAGAATGATCAAAAATTTGATGTTTAATAACACTTTTATGGTAATTTCATGCTAAACGGTTACATTTATCAACTTGAATTAGTTAAGAGTATATGATTTTTTCTGATATTATTTTTCTTTTCAATAATGTTTAAATATCTGTGTCTAGCAAGAGAAAAAAGTTATGAACAAAACATATTTTGAGTTCTAGGTAAAGTGCCTTATGCGGCGCATAATGAAACTTTTCTCTGACTGGTCCATCTACTGATCACCTACTTAGTGGGTGTGCCAAATGAGAGACTAATCGAACTTGAATTAAATAAGTTATTTAAATAGAAAAACAAAAAAAAATTAACTTTGACAAGGTAACTTGCAAACAATTGATAATTTGAAAAAAATTTTCGTTACATAATGTTACTATTTTAAAACGTATAATCACCTCCCGGAGTTTCCTGACAGACTTTCGGAACACTGATCACTGATAGAGAAAGTGACCAACGAAACATGATTTGTACATATTTAAAGATATTTAAAAACAAAAATAAATGATAACATTTTACTTGGAAAATGTCATTCTGAATGTCACAGTGGCAGTTTTGAATAGAACACGTGTTGATAAAAACAAACAAAAAATTAATAATTTACTATATTAAATATAATGCCAAATTATATATGAATAGAAAAAAATTGCATTTTCTTATCTTATTGCAAAATACATTATATTATTTTTTACTATTATTTGTATATTTTTTTTGCTACTATTGAATAACAAAAAAGTGAAATGAATTGAACCAAAATTATAAAATGCCTTACTATCCAGGTGATGCAAGTTTTGATTCGTTTGGTGTGGCCAGATATCAAAATCGTAGAACTATGAATAGTTCAGATAGAGCTCTCATTAATGCTTTCAAAGAAATCAACGCAATGGCAGATCGCATCAATTTACCAAGAACTATAGTGGATAGAGCAAATAATCTTTTTAAACAGGTCCATGATGGTAGAAATTTGAAAGGTATTGTATTTATTGAATATGTATATTTTTGCATTAGAAGATAATAAATAAATATTTTAGGTCGATCCAATGACGCAATAGCTTCAGCTTGTCTCTATATTGCTTGTCGCCAAGAAGGAGTACCACGTACTTTTAAGGAAATTTGTGCTGTCAGTAAAATCAGTAAAAGAGAAATTGGTAGATGCTTTAAGCTAATTCTCAAAGCTCTGGAAACATCAGTGGATCTAATTACCACTGGAGATTTTATGTCTCGATTTTGTTCTAATTTGGGATTACCTAATATGGTACAAAGAGCTGCTACCCATATAGCACGAAAAGCTGTCGAGCTAGATATTGTACCTGGAAGATCACCGATATCTGTTGCAGCAGCTGCTATATACATGGCATCTCAGGTATTTGTGTATTTTTAGAATTTGAAAATGCATATGCAGAAAAAAACATTTTTTAAATTTATTATGAATATAAATACTGGGGTAATTTAAAAAATGTTGACGTAACTGTGAAACAATGTAATTATGGATACTTAAGAATATATTTTATATATGGTGTGGAACAGCCAAATGGAATAAATTCAGTATTTCAATTATTGTGCACATTTATAAATAATCCTGAGACACGTCGATTGTGGATTCTGAAATTACATTTTGCAACAAAAAAATTTCATCCACAAATTCAACCCTCTTCGAGTGGCAGTTGCAACCCCTAAATTTTTAAATGAGAAGTAGAAGCTTGTGATACCTCATTTGAAACGTATTTTCATTGCCTACTCAAAAATGCTATGGTTTTAATATTTATTGCAAACATTAATGGTCTGCTTAACGAAATTTGTTACAATAAATAAAAATATAAAAACAGCGTTTTGTTCTTGCAGACTAGCAAAACCAATTTCAGTGTCCTTTTTCAACATTTTCAACTAAAAATAAATATAAAAACTTATCAAAATTATTCATAGCTGGCATTGCCAATTTTATTGAAAAATAATAATAACAGTTATGGTTAGGTCGATCACGCCTCAGATGTTGGAAAACGTTAAAAGACATTTTTATTCACATTTAGGACGCGGCCAAGACGTTCAAGGAACTAATTTTGAACATTTTCATTGAAATTAAGTTTTTTTTAGTTTGCTGTAGCGAATTTCGTCAAACTGATGAAATTATTTTTTTTACTGCTAATTTTGCAATAAATATTAAAACCATAGTATTTTTGAATAGAGTATAAAAATATCTAAATTTTTATGTGGTTTTATTCATGTTTATAACCGACAATCTTAAAGTTGTTTTTGTAACAATTGCACTTTTAAATTATTTTACTAATTTTAAACATATATTGTATGCCAATGGCTTCATCACAATTTTTGCATAAATAAATTGTTCAAACAATTGTAGCAGAAGTTGCAAATATGCAAATGCGAGGGTACTGTTAAACTCATTTGGACTTATAACAGTTTCGGAGAATTGTTCCAACAAATATGTACGGCATTGCAATTTTCATTCTTTGTTATGTTTCTGATGAAAATTTGTAAATGCCGTATAGTTATTAATGACCTAAAAATGTAGTGAAAATTTAATGAAAAATACTATCAGCTATGTAAAATCCACTAGTTAAAAATGTACGGCATTGTTTTTTTACTTATATAGAGATGGGCAATGTGAAATTTTCCGTCCCGGAAAGTTTCCAAAATGGAAATTCTTTGAACATACACAAAAAATCGTTGGTTAATTTCGGATTTTCGGTTAATTCGGAATACCAGAAGACCATATTAAGTCTACAATCTACATAATAGAGAGCAATACAAGACTCATAAATTGCCCCCTTTTCAAATTTAATATGAATTTTGATAGTTGAACCAAAGTACAATTACATTTTAAAACTAGTATAATTATTTGATGTATTTACTATTTGTTTGTTAAAAAATAAATATAAATATTGTATACTTTATAGTTTTTACGCACTGTAACTCTCAGCATATAATTTTTTCTAACGGATGATTAATACATAATTTATATTTTTCCAATATTTATACCAATATAAATAAAAATGTATATAAGTATTTGGTCTTTTTGGAAAGCTGATGGTATGTAGAACACAATACCAAATCCGAAAAAAAAAATTTTTAATTTCCGGAATTTTCAATGGAAACTTTCCAGGAATTTCCATAGTTTGGGAATTTTCCCATCTCTAACTTATGATAAGTCAATTACAGCCATAATATTTTGAATATAACATTTTTAGTTTATATCAAGGACTTTTCAGTTTTGTACATTTTCATAATTTATTTATGTTTTTCAATTTGAATTTTTAATTTGTACCATTAATAATTATAACTGGCCATAATTTAGTACGATAGTTTTTGGTTATATTTTATCAAAAAAGTGGTTGCCGTGCAGGAATTAATGATTTTATAGAAAAAAATAAAACACTTCCAAAATACAAGTAATTGTTTATAAACTTTTGCATTAACCATAATTTTCAGACGGCATAGTTGCTAAGAATTATTTGGAGAGTTAAATAATCATGTGGAATCGATGCCGTACTTTTTTCAATGACGTGAAACAATGGGGGCTAAAATAGAGGGTTGCGCCCTGCATTTCTAACCTCTGCATCAGCAGATACGTATGGTGTCACTAAAAAAGTTATCTACGTATCAATCGGAAACTTGCAGTATAAATGCCGTACTATAGTAAATCACCAAAAACCGGGCCAAAATGTTCAGAAAATGAAAAATTTTCCTGGCTTCCGGTATTGCTATTTTTGTACGGCATTAGGTCGAGGTTCTTTTTTTTAAAACCCTCCCCCCCCCTGGGTGGACAGGTTTAGCTTACTTGTGTACTGATCTGTACCAACAAGAATTGACGGCATAGTTTCTAAAGTTATTGTTATATGTGGTAGTATTGATTTATAAGCAATTCATGCTGGGTCAAATGACCCCTTGAAAATTTCCGATGGGCTTGTAGTCTAACTAGCTCGCAATATGGTCGAGGGTAGATGAAAGGCATTAAACATTCAACATTCTACCTCTTTTTGCATAAGTTGATCGAAACAATAACGTTAAAAAATTTTATCTTTTGAAACTATATTTTTCTTGAAAATAATCCTATTTCATACTGTTCAGCAATATGTGGATGTGTGTTGAAGTGAGACAGATTCAAACATTAATTGCCCAATTGTACTTTTTCTAACTATGTATATGTTCTTAAAGTACATTTTTCTTCATACATTTCCTTCAACACAGGAACGTTTTAGTAAGAGTTATCTACACAAAATGTTGTTTTAGAATATCGCGGTTTGACAAAATGCGGAACAGTTAAGAACTTTTTTATTCTTTTTTTTTAATATATTTTTGTTATTTCAGGCATCCGAGGACAAGAGAAGTCAGAAGGAAATTGGAGATATTGCAGGTGTAGCTGATGTGACTATTAGACAGTCATATAAACTTATGTATCCACATGCTGCAAACTTATTCCCTCAAGATTTTAAATTCGCTACTCCTATCGAGCATTTACCACAAATGTAAAATTTCCAAATTTATTAGTATTCGTTTATTTTAAGAAATATTCTTACATTTTTTTAGGTACACTTAAATGTATTAAAATATCCATTTTATCATTCTATTAATAAATATTTTTGTACGAAAGATTTTTTTTTAAATATATTACAGAGTTTCTTTCAAGAAGGATGCCATAACATTAACTTCATCCTCTTCCTGAAGGCCTGCAATCATTTTATTCACATCTTCCACGGCTTCCAAATCAATATCCATGTCTGAACTCTGACTAAGGTGTTCATCATCTGAGTTTTCATCCATCCTTTCTGGTATGGAATTAACTACATCATCAGCATTTATTTGTTCTAATTCATCTTCATCTGCAGAAGTTAAAAAAAAGGCTTTCACATAAATGAAACTATGGTCATAGTTATAGCATTTTTTTTTGTTTTTTAATACCCATTTCAGAAATGAAAAAATTATTAAGTACATAATCACGTTTCTTTCATAAGGTCATAAGTGTGTATTAAATTTTGAAACGTTTTGAAAATGAATTCATATAAAATTCGATTACTTCTTTCACTGATAAACTTGTGAATTTATTATTTATTAATTTATTATTTATTAATGTAACACAATATATGGTATTCTAGAGTTTTATTGATTTAGATTAGTAAAAACATTTCTCAATTTATAAAATCATATTTTCTTGGGCATCTCTCATTTATGTTTATTCGGTGTCCTTTGTGATTGGGAAAATTCTCCAAAAATAAGTTCTTGAAAATTTTATGACGCTATTGTCAGAAGAATTTATGTTAGGCCAAACAAATAGTTTGACCTAACATAAATTCTGAAAAACTAGTTTCTGTTAAAGACACTGACAGTGCAAATATTATTATGCAATTTATTACATAATACAAAAAAAATGTGAATTTATTCAATATTGGAATATAGCCAAATGCAAATTTCAACAGAGCTTGAAAAAAAGGACTAAATGCTTGCTGTGTCCTTTCTGCCTATGGTCCTGCATGAAACTATTATTATTGCAGCAAATTTTGCAATTTTACGTAGCTATAATTATATATTGGCATTGATCTTGCAAATCGACATAAGCGACAAAAAGAAAATCGATTAAAGTCTTTGAATTAAGCCCTTAGGGCAGGGGCCGACATGCGGCTCTTCAAGTACCTCTAAAAAGAATTAAAAGCTAAAGCGAACAGACATGTAGCACAGAGTACACATGAGGCTCATGAGTCGCTCACGTAATTAGTGTCGCCAGTGTGAACAGGGTTTTGGGCATAGTTCGAACCGACCTTGAGCCGCTTGCTGTGCGCTGGCTGGAGTAAGTTTTTCCAGTGAGCATAGGGGGATGCTCAGTGTCAGTTTGGACGGCAAAACTACGTAGTCAAAAGTGTGGACGTGCTTTGTAACAAAATAACAATATCCAGGTAAAGAAATCTCTAATTGAATAAATCGATAGCAGATGTCCGTAGCTGTCCGTTCAGTTATTAACACTTTTTATACAAAACTTTTTCTTAAATTTACTGCTTAAAATGATATAGGAAGTCGTAATATGATTTCATGTGCTTTGCGTAAAAACCACGAGGTAATTCGGCAGATTTTGTGTACAAAATACGACCCAAGTACCTGGTTTTAGGTAAGTGTCCTGCGAAGAAATAAAACTTTTTTATACTGTATTAAATTAAAATTAACTAGTTAAGCTGTTAATAAGCTACCTTGGCATTCATTGCAAACACCAAAGCGCTAAATTTTGCTCTATTTGATATCAATGTGGGTACATCTGAAATCAAATTACTAGATTTAAAAAGCAGAGATTTGTGTAGTTCGAAATTTACGAATCTAAGTAGTAGCTTAGAAGAGCTAGAAAGGCAGAAATGTAGTTTGCTATCACAGCATAAGTGGACAGTTTTAAAAGACATGCCCAAGCCTGAGGCACTAATTTTCGATAACTGTAATAGTCTTCCGAAATGCTATGACTAAATAAAAAAAAAAGCTTTTGGTGTGCTGAAAATATTAGGGTCAACAATTCGTGCGAGCAAGTTTTTTCTTCGATGAACTTAGTAAAGAACAAGGTAAGAAGCCAAATAACTAATCAAAATGTAGAATCGAATTTTAAATTAAAAACTACTGGTTATGTGCCGGACATACCAAAAATTTCCAGGGAAATGTAAGGTCATCATTCGCGTTGATTTTTGAATATAATTTCATTGTTTGTTTTTTGTGACATAGTAATAATATAAATAATACATATAAATGAATGTATTTTATTTAATTACCACTTCCTTATCCGATTTAAATTTGAAATAAAATGTAAAAACAGAAATAAAAATTCGTGGCTTTTTGAAATTCATGATTGTGACATTCATTAAATTTATTCTCTCTATTTTCATCTTGCATAGTTAGATAAACAATTCCAAACAAGTTATTGCAGTATTAACGGCAGTCTGAAATATATTGAAAATTCACTATTTATTGATTTTTCTGGCGATGACGCCGATTTCAAGGTCTAGGTTCCGGTGCACTAGGTGTCCGGGGGGATGGCGGGGGTTTGCTCGCCGACGTCAGATTAGGAATCAGCAACCCGAAAAGCCCCCGGGTGTCAAGTCTCGTTACATTTAAGAGTGAAATTCAGGAGAAGCCTCCTAAGCTCCAGATCGGGGATGGACCAATTTGAAGGTCATATTCGGAATCAGCAACCTCGAAAACCAACTGGACCCTGATTTGAGTCCATTCCAGGCATTATTAACCGAGATATGAATTTTTTCTAAATGACTAAAAAATGCATTTTTCCGGATGTATTTTGCACTGCACAAATGCAATTTGGCCGAAAAACATAATACAAAGTTGATACATTTTTTTCACATAATTTTAGAAACCAAATGCAAAAAACCCCATCTTGATACGACTTGATCGAAAAATTTCAGAGGTTCAGTGCTTTATTTCCTCGACTAGTAGGGGAACCCAAAATATGGTGATTTAACGCAACTTACCTTTATAGTAAGCTGCACCCTTGAGAACTTATAGGCCTTGAATATGGGGTTTCAAATTTCTAAAAAAATAAACTGAGATATTGATTTCTTTTGAAATTTTAAACCTCATTTTCAAGGCCTATAACTTCTCAGGGTTCACTTACATGCCGCTGCTGTATCGGTTCTTATATGAAACACTCTGCATATTCATCTATATTGGTATATAATTAGTACTATGATATCGTCACTGAAGAAACAATACCGCCTAGGTGACATTTTTATCAAAATTCAGGATTCCCACAAAACACTTAAATAGGGCGCATCTCCGTCTAATACCGTAATTTTGAAGAGTTTGCAATTGAAGTAATAATTTGTTGGTTATTTTGATACCAGGAACCTAAAATTAGGTTTTCATTAATTACAGTTACGAAACAGTTTTTTTGGTCTCCTGAAAAGTTGATATTTTTGTTCTGTACGGTATTGTTTCTTCAGTGATGATATCCAGCATACATATCACAAAAAAGTTGCTTGTAATGCAGTGGCGGCTCGTGACATTGAGAATAGGTGAAGCATATTCATTGATTGACTAAAAGAAAAAAAAAGCGCCGCTGGCAAAAATTTTCAAATTTTCAAGGTCAAACGGCTTTAAATGAATTGGAAATTTTTGGTTGCATTTGCAATATACCGGAAAACTGACGTTCGTGAGAAGGATTTTCATTTAGATTTCATAAAAAATAGAAATAATAGTTCGGCTTGTGGACTTCTGCAAACATTAATGCACACCGTACATGTATGTTCCAAAGAAGCTTTGTGGTTATAATAACCTCGCGTGACGTTCCCAAAATTGTTAAATCCCTTCTTATTCCACACACCCAACTTTACACCCACAATTAAACACAGCATACAGAAAGGTTTTTTTAAATGAACACTTCCACACAACCACTTATACTCCGAATACCATTCATTCCTAAACTTTCGAACGTACACGTTGTATTTCTCGCAATTTAAAAAATCCTTTTTGTCCTCAATTTTCCATCTGGAAAATGGCATTTCCAATAAAATACATACTGGATCATACATAGAAAACATTTGTACAATTATTATATAAAACAAATATTAACTAAGAACCATTATAATCGTGCACTGGGCGATGCCATCAATCCCATGTTGGCCGCTTCGTTGCCATGACAACCCCCAGTAACAACGCTAAACGCTAGGAAGAGAAGCAGAATACAGACTGATTTCAATTTGCGTCACTTCTGTATACTATACGTTATATGGTCCGAGGTTGATGTTCGCGCTGAACGAAGCCAATGTTTTTTTAGAAGGTGTTCACCGCGCAACTATTCTGTTTATTTCTGCGTATTAAACAAACAAACACAATACATTTTCAATATAGAATTGTACCTAAATTATAAAATTTATATAAAATTTAAAATAATTTTAAATTGCACAACCAAACGGAAATTTTAGGTGAAGCAGTGTGTCACCTGACAAGCCACCACTGTTGTAATATTTCTTTATATTAAGGTCCTGAGAAATTACTCAAGTTGCGTTTTTGGTGCTTACGCCTCTTTGCGTGATCAATGACGATATATTTAAAAAAAAAAAAAAAATTCAAAAAATCTTGTGAAACTTGAGATATTTGAAATAATTTAATTTTTGATTGGCTTTACTTATTGGATTGTCTAAAGAAAGCAATCTCTAGAAAGCAGTGCATACTCAGTTAAGTTTTATATAAAGGACATGATAGTCTGCCTATAATGCACAGCTGCAGAGCATTTCTCTGAACTATTAATATTGATAGATTATTTTGCTATTTCAAGCCACAATGTCAAGATCGAAAGTGTTTTTTTAAATAAATACTCAGTGGTCAAAAGTGCAGAAAAAATTACAAAGAAAATTGATATCCAATGTTCCTTTAGTGAACTTGTGAGGAATTTTACAGAATGACTTCTAATGCATCTGATTTACTCATTAAAATTGGTTCAAGTACCAAATATTAATATTGTTTTTTTTTTAATTTAATAATGAAATTATTGACTTATATTTACTTATTAGGTACATTTATAAAAATAACTAGATAAATAGTGTTAAATAGATATTGATCAGTCAACCAGTTTTTTATGTAAGAGTATCATTTTTATGGTCGCAATTTAACTAAAGACCATCGTAGACTATTGCTATCAACCGCATGCTTGCTGACATTTGACATTTCATTAATGTCATAGTCATTTTATTTATGATTTAAACAGAAACATACGCCTATCTAGAGCCAGTGTTCATCAGCATGATTCAGTTGCGGTCAGGCTGAACTAGAGAGGCCTTATTGTGTTGCTCGAATCAGAACAACTGCTCTACCTCCAAACTCCAATCAAGAAATCGTTTTTTTTATCAATAACAAATTGCGTGACATAAATTAATAAAATCAGATCATCTGCTCTGATACAAACCAATGACAATTATTATGTTTCTTTTTAAGTTGTTTGTGCAAATTGTTTGGTTAAATTGACGATGATTAAAACTTAATTAGCTATCAAATTAAAATTTTCTAATAATTTATTATCTCACCTAATAAGTCAATTGTGTGAATTTCAGAATCAGTCATGTTTGCACTAGATTTAGATGGTTCCTTTATAAATGGTGGTACATTTACACTTGTATATATGCCTTTTTTAATATTGCTTAACATTTTGCTACAATAGGTAGGAGATGAATTTTCCTTTAATTGCTGCTTTTCAGACATTTCTGACTGATTTTGCTGTTGCAATTTGATGGTATCTTCTAGTAGTTCTTCTTGTACCCTATCCATCACATATTTATTAACTATTTCTCTACATTGTTCCGTAAAATTAACTGGCAACCATCCATTCTTTGAGTCATATTTTGTCCCTGCAGGTAATTTAGGTAATCTAGATACCATTTCTTGAATTTCAGGTAATAGCACATCGCAATACTAAAATAAATAAAACAAATAGATCTAAAAAATATATTCCTGGATGAATCAATTCAATAAGTAGTTAAATATTGTTAAAAAATTTGTATAATAAAATCACCTGATAGAACATCTGCCGTGCTGGAGGTATATAATTCGGTCGTAGGACATAACTTCTTTCTTCAATAATATAATTATTGATAGAATCTACTTTATCTTTTAGAGAAGTTTTGTTTGTGTAACTTCTTTTAGCATCAACTTTCAGTTTTGTTCCCTCTGCAATATTGCAAATTATTTAGGTAACTTCAGAAATATGAAATTTAAAATTAAAATACATAAATATAATTTTTTTTAATTGAACTATTTTGACAATAGATATATTACAGAATATGTACAAGGTTATTTTGGTAATATTTTAACCTTATTATCTCTTGAGATTTTGTATTTATAAAAAAAATGGGAGGGCAGATGATTTTAATATCTTATCGCAAATTCAAAGCAACACCTCGAAAAATAATTGAATTCAACATATTAGCTATAAATCACCCTGTATATTTATACATACTCTATTTGCTGTTTCAGTGTTCGATATTCTGATCTAACATTTTAGATTTCCAAAAAAAAAAATATATATATAAAGATATGATCAGATTATAGTCATATTATAAAAAAAAGATTACTGTCAATAGCAGGTACATATATCTATATTTTCAGATTTCGTAATTTCAAGAAGTTGTATTTGTAATCACTTCCTTACCTTTAGCTCGTATTCTATAATCCAACGTTTGATATATTCTGGAATTAAAATCTTTTTGTGGGTTGTATTCATATCTTATCCAAGTCATTCTCCAAGGTCCTGCAGGACAAAAATATGCAACCGCCGGTAATATAATTTTAGCATTTTCTGTGTTTATTCCAGTTTTGTATTGGATAGCAACTTTAGTCCATGCAGGCCTTTCCTCGAATAGCTAAATAAATAATCATAAAAACAAATTCTAAAATCTAATTGTTTTTACTCTTATTATAAACAAAAATACAAAATTGAAAATCTACGAAAATAACCAAATAAATATATTTTAAAATTTTTCAGAATTCAAGAATGTTCTTGTTTATTTCAATTTTTATATTATTTTATTATTAATCCTTTTAAAATATTAATGGAATATTTTTAGAAAAATTCTTAATTAATTTGAAAGAAAAGATTATTTGTGGGAGAAATTTCAATTGTATTAAGTAATGTAATCTATTAACAATAATGAACAATAATCTACAAAATCTATTTTTGAAATAGAAAAAGGGTAGTACAATAAATCCTATGAAAGAGGTATAGACACATAGGAAACCTCTAGCATAAAGAAAGGTATAATTAAAAGTTGATGTGAATAAAATTTTTTCAGAAGACCTGCTAATTAGTACAATAAGTCAGGAGAGAGTTATACATTGCGTAGTTACAGAATTTTTTTATTGTCTTTTATTGTATTATCCATTGTCCTCTGAAATATAATCTTGGACTAGCCATCCTGGAATAGATTCTACATGTCAAAATAATTAGAAAAAAACTCAAATGTTGATATGCGATTTTCATTTGTTTTCAAGCTATGACGATTTCAATAAAAAAAAATGTATGATATTCTATCATAGTGTTCTTAAATATATTTTTATCAGGACATCTGCGATATAGAAACCATTGACGATATTCTTCAACAGCAACATTTTGTAGCGCTTTGATCGCACAAACGTGTAATCAAATGTTAAACTATTGCAACATAAAATGACTGACAAATATCCTACTTTTGAACTTTGAACATGACAATCTCTTGATTTCAAATTTTTAAAATTTGTAATTACGCTATAACTTGAAAACAAATGAAAATAACATATTGGAGTCTTCTTATTATTTTGACATATAGAATCCATTCCTAGAGTTTGGTAAGAGTCTCCCGACTCACCCTGTATAATTTATACAATTTGGATTACCTATAGCTATGATACAGAAGTTGAAATCTTGTTTTAAATGAAATTGAAATTTTTTTTCCCAAACTAATAAATATATTCAAATGTAGTCCACTAAAAATTATGGGGATTGATATAAATAGTATTATTTGTAAGAAATTTAAATAAATGATTAGATGATTTTTCTAAGTTCGAATAAAAATTATCAACTTTTGTTTTATTTCACTGATCTGAAAGATCAAACAAGATAAAAAAACGCTAAATTAGAAAACTATGTTTTGGCTGCCTTAGTGCCACACAGAGAACAATAATATGAGTAAGGATAATCCATATTTCATAAAACTTTATAAAGTGTTAAAGCAAGTTTTGCTTAATAAATGACACCAACTTTTGACAACCTGATGAAATATACCAACACAGATTCTATGATATATCAAGAAACATTTCCAGTTTGTAAGTGTATTTATTATTTGATTTAAAACATTTAAATTTAAAGATTATGAAAAAAAAAATGTTTTATCTTACCTTTCTTACATTTATATATTGTTTTTCCAAGTTCTTTTCTTTTATCAATTCCATTGTATATGTGAGAGGTTGATCAGGTATTTGTACATTAGGTGTTTGAAGATTTACAAATATCGACACATGCTTGATCAGTATCTTTTTAGGTTTCTTTGTCGACTTAACATTTTCACTTAATTTTGACAGTTCTGGTCTTACATTTGAGTTCAATTTTTCTGCAGTATTTAAATATAACTTATTTTGAGATATATCAATACGAGCAAAACTCGGAGGAATGAAAAATTTGGGTTGAGATGAGGTTTCTTTAGACCTAAAATTTTTTAATACCAAACGTTAATAGCACGTATTAAGAAATGAGGTATTGCTAAAAATATTGTAATACTAAGGCCCGGTACTTCGAGTCTCGGTTAAAGCTTGATTAACTGATCAAGCGATTAGACTGTACATAATGCTGATTTATTTTATAATGTATAATGACAGTCTAATCGACTGATTAGTTAATCAAGTCTTAATCGAGACTCAAAGTACCGGGCCTAATATTTATGAAATAATAATTGAAATAATGACAGTATCTATGAATTAAATTAAAGTGGTTCTGGAAATGACTCCTTTAAAGAAATGATCATTTTCTAAGAGCTTAAATAGCTTCATCATAATATCATTCAAGTCAATAATATTAATGTTTTCTGAGAAAAATATTTCAAATTTATGATTTTACAGTATAGACGAGACAAAATTTTAATGCAAAATAAAATTACAAAAATTGTGAGATTCAAAAATAATGACAATTTACTGAGATTTTAACGGAAAACGAGATCGCAAAATATGATCTCAAAACAATATATTCATTTTTCCTTTGAAAGAGTTAATGTGATCAATTAGAAATTAGAGGATCTTTTTCTAATATTCTTTGATGATCTGTAAGATAAAGCTGTTTAATTTTTGAAAAAAAAAACTGAAAAAACCACATGAAAATGTCATGAGCAATTTTCTTGCAAATAAAAGCCTTTTAAGGCCTTTAGAATTTTTATAATTTTTTTTATTAGATGTAGTTTGCTACCAATAATAAAAATCTACAAAATTTTAAAAAATCATTTAACTTAAAACAAGGTTGTGGCAAAATATTTATTAAATATTTACTTTGATAATAGTGAGTTTTCAAAAAAGTGTCGTAGGAACTTGCATGATTATTTTTATGAGAAATCAATTATGTATTTCTATTCACTTTTAATACCTGGAATTTAAAAAATAAAGCATTATCTGCCATTAAAATTTGACTAAACATTATGCTTACATGTTATATATCTATACTATGATTAAAAGAAAATTTAAAGACATGAAAAAAGTAGAACTTCTTCATCTATATATACTGGGTATAATGAAAATGCTTGACGAAATTTAAATACACAGTAAATTTTATGTCATAAATTAAAGAAAAAAAATATGTTGAAATAGAATGTGTTAAAAATGAATGAAAAAAATATGATGCTTTACTTCAAATTCCTGAATATGGGATTGAAGACATGATATGTTCATAGATAATATTATTATTACAATATTACGTAATAAATAATTTAATACTATGACAATTTTAATGAGAAAAATATCGATTTTACTATTTATCTCAAAAATGATGCAATATGCAAAAAAATATTTTTGTAAAGCCTTCAGGTACTAGTCAAATTTGAAATAGTTGGCTTGAAATAAATGAAAATTACGAGTAAATATTATTAGTGCTAATCTAATCTGTTGCTGAGACTATGCATCTATTTCAGAATTCTATTGAGAGTAAAGTTACACCTCAAATATGAATCGAGTTGATAAGAACCATTTTTATTAATTAGTGATGTGGAAACCACTGCTAATGTTAGATTAAGCATTTATGTTACATCCTGAATGATGAAATTTGAATAATGAAATTTTTTGAGTTGCATGTATATCAAATATCCACACTAACTTTTTAGATGTAGGTACTTAAATAAAAAAAATTATTTTAATTCATGTTACGTTGTGTAGGTATAATTGTAAATTATATAATTTATAGACATTAAAAAATGCAAGATAAGAATACGGACCCTTTCTACTACATAATTTGTATAACAGTTCTCTTAATACATGGTAAGAAAACTGATAATCAATCATCCCCTTCAGAATTAATTAGGGACTTAAATAAGATTAAATAGCCAACTTAAATATTAAATATTTTTGTTTAATATTTGTCATTTGTAAAATTCTTGTTGGCATATTGCAGACAAAACAGAGAATGTATGTATAAAACAAGACAAATTAAAAGTATAGTTTTCACTGATGGAAAATTTTATTAGATAAAAAATAAAGATAACTCACAGTAACCATTCTAGTGTAGGTAACTTCTTTGGCAAAATTTTCTCATAAATATATTCCACATTATCGTTGGCTGCATTCGAAGCCACTAACGGCAAATATTGAAAATCACACATTCCTGAAAATAGGTGTGTTTTAAATAATTTATAAGTAGTATTAAATAACCTCTCTTGTAGTATTACTCTGATATTAACTATTAAAAAAAACACGTACCTATATATAGTAAATCACAGCAAATAAAAAAAAAAGTTTAAGAAGATAGAACATTAAAAATATTTCAAATTTGACCTACAAATCTATGTGCAATTGTTAACAGTTTAGCAATTACAGGATGCTGAAGTTAATGCTGATATATTAAATTATTTGTAGTCAGCGAAATGAACATTTATTTTTTTGGTCAGGAAATAGATATTAAAAAAATGTTTCTGAACAGATTTCGACCAGTTAGTCCAGAATTGGACACAAAATTTCTCTTTCTCTCTCTTTATTTTGTCTGTTCTTCTGTTTTACTTGAACTCAACTGAACAGTTGTCGGTTGTTGACTGTACTATTCATATTTCTTCAATTTTAGCGAGCAGATTTTCTCGTACACCTTTTTTTATCTTTGAAAATAAGTTTTTTCAGTTGCAGAATGCCTTCCAAAAGTACTAATTGGAACAGAGACAAAAAATAAAAATGATATTTTTTCAATATTCGGAAGATGTTCTCCAATGGGCCTTTTTCCCTTCAGAAGCTTTATGTTGTTGTTGGCTTTGTGATTCTGCTTTGAACAATTTTCTAATTTTAGAATATCTATTTATTGGATTAGTAACAAAGTTGACCTCCAAACAAAGAAGTTTTTATGAAGTTGTTGAGGCTTAAAGATAAAAAATTTACCATAAGTGGTTGAAAACCGGTGCAGTGATTCTACTAAACCATTAAAAATTGGGTACAAATTTATGACGCAAAATTTTAAGATTACCGATGTTCTATCTTCTGAATTTTTTTTTTGCACTTCTATGAATCACCTTATACTATCTTATAATTTATTTAAAATTCCTCTAAAGCATCCTGAGGATTTTTTTATTTAAGACGGATTCTTCCTTATTTCTAGTAATATCAATAATATAAAAAGTGTTTCAAATAAAAATTGTACCTTGAGATTGCATCAAAACAATTTTGCTACATATTAAAATTATTTTCAATTATATAGAATGTTCCAGTACTTCTCTGTATTATCTAACTTCATTTTTGAAAAAGAATAGACTGTATATATAAGCATTTTTGAATTTTTCATAAATTTATGGTACGTTTTGATAAACATACTGGATCTAAAATATACTGTACATGACAGAAAAAAATTGTCTACAGCATCCTTGAAAATATCAAATATGTTTGAAACTAAACATGATAGCAGATGCAGATTTCACCACTTGTTTAAACATAATCTTATGTTTTACTTACTTAATCAATTTCAAATAGAAAAATAACAATTGTGGGTGACAGAAGTCCCAAGTTTTAGATTATGCGCAAATGGATTTATTTTAGACAAATATTTTAAATCTTCTATCCATTCTATTAAAGTAGAATAAAACAAATATTATTGTAGTTTTTTTTGTATTTTTGTAACTATCTGAATGAAATGTCAATGTCTATGATGGCTTTCTGTTACAATAGTCTCCACTGGCCCATTGCGATGTATGACACATCGTGCTATAATATTTAGGTAACTTTTATGTCATACGATACTCAATGATCATTTTCATAGTCCATGTTAGTCTTAAAGATTCCAGAAATATGAAAAAAAACTACAGAAGTAGGTACGAGTTTTTAAATTCATCTCTCAAAAATGTGCATACATCAAATTATAGACCCTTTCATATACTTGGAATTAGGAGACAAATGCATAATTTGGTAAATATAACATTTTCCGATGAATTTAAAAACTCGTCCGTAATAGATTTCATCAAACCTTTATAAAATTCAAGAAAATTAAATTTTGCATCTATCTGTAACAAATTTAATATAAGGTTTCATTTAAATCTGTAATTATTAATTGAAGATAGGTTTCTTCATGCTTGTAAAAAACCTATCTTGTTATCATGTTTCATTTTAGATTTTTTAGATTTCTAAAATATACATGTTTCTTACAAAAGCTTTAAATAACCAAATATCTGTTTATCAAAATATGCCTTAAATTAAATAAAGTATTTAAATATATAGAGTGTTCCAAAAAGGTTGTGCCAAACTTCAGGATTTTAGAGGGGGCATTGTGATGAAAAACTTTTGCGTAGGGTGCCCTAGTCAAAAATGAGCCGTTTCGGCTCCAAAGTCATACTGATAACAAAAAATAATAAAGTTTCAAAATGACTTGCTTGAATATAAAACATATCAATATCATATTATTGTTTATTACTGATAAAGGAAAAAATTATAATAAAGTTTCAAAATGACGACCCCCCAACTTCATTAGATAAATTGGTCCTTTGAAGCATAGAATCATGCACCCGTTGGAGGATGTGCGGATCTTGCTGTACGTAAAGAGAGGCTGCCATCACACTTCCCAATAATTTCTCTTGGCTGTCAACGGGAGTTTCATACACCAACGACTTGATGTAACCCCAGAGAAAAAAATTCAATTGGATTAAATCCTCTTCCGATCCATCGTGCAGGAAATTGTTGGTTTAGGTAATCCTGTACAATACGGGAAAAATGTGCAGGTGCACCGTCTTGTTGCTACCACATTCTAGCTTGCGTACCCATAGGATTGTGTGCATTGTCCAATAGCTCAGGAAGTACGATGATTTTGGAGCCGAAACGGTTCACTTTTGACTAGGGGTCTCTATGCAAAAGTTTTTCATCACAATGTCCCCTCTAAAATCGTGAAGTTTGGCACAACCTTTTTAGAACACCCTGTTTAATGTGTTCCATTTGAAAATATAATGGTAATGCTCAGATGAAATGGGACACCCTGTATAATTTACAATAATTTTAGAATATGAAGAAATTGATCTGTTGGAACTTTTATTTGAAACACTATTTTTGTATTATTGATATTATCAGCTTATTAAGTAATTACGGTGTATATTTGCAATTACTTCGAAACTAAAAAAAAATTACAATACTTATAAGTGTATTTTGAGATTATCATGTCAACTAAATGAGAAAAACTTCTAAGCCTTAACATCTAAATTTCATCCTAATTAGATACTAAGTCATCAATATTACTTTCAAACTTAAAATTAAAACAAATTGGTAAAATATTGATAATTACGATTAAACTTAAAATTTAATGATGTTACTCCTATAACTTCATAGTCATATTTTGGCTCATCCAGTTGTGATTTAGTGGGAGCATGTTTAACTCTTATTAAAATTCCAGGATTCGTGTCTCTATCAGCACTGCAAGGTTTGTTGTATTTGTTATTTGGATGAAAACGTAATTCCAACTTAATTCTGTGATCTGCAGCTGCCTATGAAAATACAGAACAAGTTTGAGTTTATAAAATATTAATTTACTGTATTATAGATTTCGAGTACTGATCAATTAAAAAAAAAAACAAATACTCTTAATTCTTAACGTCTCAAGCAAATAATACATGTAACTTAGATATAAGAAATATACATCTTTCAAGCCAAAAACTGTAAATTTTACATATGTTACAAAAATATTACCATTTCTATTTCTTGCATTTTTCCAAGTGTTTCAATTGCAGAAGTTACATCTTTCACAAGACCCGGATATTCTATCCGTAAGATTTGTTTAGAAAAATTATATAAGTATTTAGAATTAACATTATCGTGTAATATTGGTTTGATTCCTGTTGTTCCATTTAAAATGTTTTTAGACTGATTAGATTTAAACTTTGTTAAAACCTTTTTTGGTCTTTTTAAAAAATGGCCTGTGCTACTATGAGGCTGCCATTCTTCGTCACTTTCAGACATACTTGAAAATATTTTCAAAGTTAATAAAATTAATAATAATTGATACTTAAAAGGCGCAAATTAAACAAATTATCTCATTACAGATAAAATTGTTATTGTAAGGTAAGATTGTAACTTTAAATGTTATTATTACAGGTTACAGGAATTACAGGATGTCAAAAGGTTTGTGTTTGTATTGTTTTATAACCTAGAACGAGAACGATTATTATTCCTTTTCTATTCTGTGATTTGCGCCATTGATTTTATAAAACTCTGCTATTTCTGTCAAATATGTATGTCAATGCATTCGTTTTGTTGGATTGATTCCGGAATTAAATAATATTGCCTTAAATATGCTTATTTAAAAAATAAATATCTTTATTTTTACAAGTGTTTTTTTTTGCCTAACAGGTTTTAACAATGAATAACAAAAACTCAGAATTGTGTTTAATTAAGATCATTGCTAATCTACAATCTACATTAACTATCAACAAAATAATTTAATCATACAATATTAACAGTTACTCTGCCAAAACCTACATGATATACCTAATATCAATATTTTAAATACGCCCGGGAAACTAAACGAGTTTGATGGTTGGAGCATGTGCGCAATGTGGAAGCCAAAGTGGAATCGGTGTGGCTAGCCGCCAGTCCAGAATCCACATGCATTTATGATCACGGATCATATTTGTAATCATGCACGTGCCACATGACCACAACATCCAATCATCCAATACGTTTTGATCTTGACGGAGTGTCAAGTCGCTTTACTGTAGGGATGGGCAAAAATAACCGGTTAAATGAATAACCGATTATTGTGTGTCGGTTAACCGGTCAAAAACCGGTTATTTCCCGACTTCGGTTTAACCTGATAACCGATTATTTATGTCAAAAACCGCGTGCCGGTTATTTTACCGGGACCGAGTGAAAATTTTAGCTCTAGCTCACTGTACGATTAAAATATATTGTGCTCTATCCTTAAACTTGATAGTAGATCAGACCACAGCATAGACAAAATAAATAAATATTTATTTTGCTGTGATCAGACTTAAGCCATCGTTGGCTGGACATCCTATTTAGTGGTCTGTGGGTCGGACTACGCTAATTAGGCCTCCCTAGCGGGACAAAACATGTTGGTCATTATGAAGAAGTGTCAAAATAACAATAAATTTCAGCTGTCAAATCAATGTTTTATTTCTCCTCGATATGAAAACCTAACCATTTGATAAAGTTTTAAAAAATAAATATAAGCACTGCTTGGTGTTTGAATAAAAGTAAAAAAATATAAATTTTTAAATCAGATACATGACTACACAATTTTTTAATACAGAGATAAATTAGAGCACTCACAAAAATTTAAAAGGGCCGGTTATTTCAATAACCGGTTTTTAGGTAGAGGTTAACCGATTCAGGTTTAACCGACTAAGAAAAATAACCGGTTAACCGATAACCGGTTATTTTTCAATAACCGCCCATCCCTAACAACTACTACTACTACTACGGCATCAACAACGACGATAACAACAACAGAAGCATAAGCACCAGCAAGATCAATAACAGCAATAACAACG